AACCACCCATATATATATATGTATATACACAGGTGTGTATATACATATGTTCGCGCACACGCACATGTCTATGTATGAATGCGTGACATACATATGCTCATACATATACATATGTGTGTAAGCGTTTATGACAATACATTTAAATATGTGTATATGTGTCTTTACGTGTATATATCTGTATATTTATACATATATATATATNNACACATGTACATATACGCACTCAGGTACATTTGTATCTGACACAACTTGAATATATATATATATATACACACACATGTACATATACGCACTCAGGTACATTTGTATCTGACACAACTTGAACGTGCACTCGTGTACATACATGGGTATGTACCTAGCGGGCTAGATGCAGTTGGGTTCTGCACAGTATGTATACATACACACTATGTACGTACGCACATACGTACTTGCCTGCCTACGTAGATACATACACACGTACACACTCATAACCATTTGCCATGTATCACGATGCACATCGTATAGACCATGGTGATAACATCAGGCCTGACGGTAACGGTAGAAGAGTGGCAAACATGCTTCTACATATTGCTTCCGTCATAGAAGTCACAGCGATCACGGCGGTCAAGGAAATGGCACGGTCCAGAAGCATCAGTTACCAAAATCAGAGATAGCGATGGACTGCTGCTGCTTCCTGGGCTTGGCGCCTCGCGCTCGCGCAGCCCCAAGCAAGCGGCTCAGGCCCCGAATGCCGAGGGCTCATACTCCGGGTTTAGCCCAATCGGTTTTGTGGCTCAAAGATTTTAGCGATTCAAGGCTCGTTCAAGCAGAATTCAGCTTGATACAGATTTGCTGTATGGGCGTAGGAGGCTGCCGGGTGTTTCAGTATTGTTGATGGGGTTGCACGGCGCTAAGCTTGAGCTTGAGGCTCTAGACATCTGGGATCATCTGGGCTCGGTTTCTATCAATCACGAAAGGCTCTTCAGGAGATTGCAGGAGTTGTAGGAGCCTAGTTACAAAACACTGTAGCGCCTTTCGGTTTGATAAATCGGAAGTTAAAGACATGCAACAGTGGGGGTCCTGCGGCAGTCTTTCTGGTAGAAGGCCCCGCCCGAAGGGGCTGGGGCGCTGGGGGTCTCCGCCCTCCTTGTTTAGGGCCCCCGAAAGCCCCCATCGTCTTACTACTGCTGCTGCTGCTTCTTCTTCTTCTTCGTCTGGTGCTTGCACTGGCGTTAGTAGAATGGCACTGCCTCTATATATTATACTGGCGATACTACTATGCGCGCTCAGACCGAGCGAGGAAACCCTTTGCAGAGCGCCTCCACGTGCTACTACTGCTCCTTGCTGTGGGGGTGTGCACCGAAACAGGAGAGACGCACGCACCACAGCCCCGAAGCCCTAGTCCTGCTAGATTTCGTGGCCTCCTCTCAAGTTGAACTTGGTTTCGGGTCTCAAGCGTTTTTTTCTGAGCATCTTGCTGTTTGAGCTTTGTGTGGTTGGTGTTCGGCACAAGAGCTCTTCTTGCCGCGGCCTAGAGCCTTCAGCCTTAATCTGCGCGGACCAGGCTTGTGCGCCACGGAGCTGCTCAGAATGCAAGCAAACTGTTCCAACATGCTCCTGGCAAACGAAAAAGTGGTTGTCACGGTGTTTGTGCCTCGTGCCTCAAAGTCGGAGTTGCCTCTAGTTGACATTGTCTTGTGAAATCCGAGAAGGCTCGCCCCGGTTGACTTGAGTCATGAAAAAGGGTTCGCGAAGTCTGAATCCTCCCTAACTCCTGTTTCGGGATTTTCGGTCTGATGCCACAGCCCGACAGAGGGGTTCCGGAAAAGGTCGACCAGGGTGGGGGAGGAGACATCTCCGTCCCAAAAGCTTTGCACAGAGTACCCTTGTCTGGGCGTTAGGACGTAAGGTCTAGAGTCTAGCAGCCTGTTGGAAACTTACTAGGTACAGCTGAGCGCGGTGTGACTTGAACGGGGGCGGTTCCACAGAGTCGTTGACATTGCTGGAGCTGTAGATGGAAGGTAATCCCACTAATTAGACACTTTAATCCATCCGTCGGAGTGCTGACAATAGTGAGCCACTTGCACAAGATGTCTGAAGGCGGTGCTGCAAAGTCTGTTGCCAAGTTCGGATCCAGGTTCAGCACTTGAGAGTTTACGGACAGCCAGATGATTAAGTATCTCTTGCATTCAGCATTCATGCAGTTCGGCTTGTCAGATGCTCCAAGCTAAGTTGCGACAGCTGTTTAAACAGGAAAGGGTAGACCTAGTAGACGACCATAGACGACCGCTTCCGCGTGATAGTTATCCTCCTTTAATCGTCAATACGGCATGGTCACTCCTAGGGCTAATCTTTTTTCTTGCTTGAGAAATGTAGTAGGGAAGGCCTGACACCACCTCCCAAAGCTTGCAGTGAATGTTTTCACTGCTGTTTTTTCCTGGGCTTCCTACAGGGTGTTCAGGGTTTTGGCGGTTTTGGCCTCTCACCCATCTTCAATCTGAGGAGAGTCAGTACAACGTATACTATGCTGAGCACCATCGTGATCCAGGCGGGAGGCTTCATCTCACGCCCATCCGAATTCGAGGGTTGGCTGAGACGGGGTCTTTTGGATCCTTTGAGTTCAGAACAGTGTCTGCCTCTCGTAGAGCACAAGCCACACAAGCTGCCGACATGTTCCCTCTGTTGTCTGTGTGAAGATGAAGAGCTCGTTCTCCGAGCTACCTTACACAGGTGCCGACTATTGCCTCAGCCTCGCAATTCTCAGCTTGGCATTCCTGGTTTAGCCTAGACCCCAAGACTCAAAGTCGACTATGGAAGCACAGGGGCGCACGCACACACACACACACACACTGACAGATATACTGTGAGACATTTTTTCGAATTCCGCTGCCGCTGCAGCTTCAACAAAACACTTCAGAGAATTGCAGATTCCCCGTAGCGTTCGAGAGGTAGAACAGGATCATGACAATGGGGGGGTCGTACCGAGGGTCCATTAGTTCAACTATCCAGAATTCAAATCACAAAGTCTCTTCGCGGAGGCGACTTCTGGGATGCTGCTCTCACGCCGAAGGGCGAGGTGCTTTAGCAAGATAGCAATGGGAATCATAGGGCGACGAGAAAGTTGAGAATATTGGGTGTGTCTATGTCGTGCCCAGCTCCCATTGCAAGTTTTCAATTGGCAAAGTCACTACTCATGCCTTGTTTGTGCATGGCAGCGGCAGTTTCGGCAATATTAGCTATGACCACATGGTCATCAGAAGTATCACCATCGCCAACTCCACGACCGCCACCACCATCATCATCATCATCCTCATCATCACCATCACCATCACCATCACCATCATCATCGTCATCGTCACCATCACCCTCATCATCCTCATCATCACCATCATCACCGTCACAACCTAATCATCAGCATCATCAACAACATCATTTCTTCAGCATCAGCACCATCATCATCGTCATCAGCACCATTATCACCAACATCGCGAACATAATAACCAAGACCTCCATCACACCATTACATAGTATCATTGGCCATCGTCTTCAGCCTCATCATCTTGATTGTTACCACGTCCTACTATCAGCATGACGTGTCACTGTTTTCATCAAGCATCATCACCGCCATCGTCTGCTTGATCTTCTTCACCAGCACGGCCAGGAGAAAGGCACGTGTCGGGTTGAAACCTGTAGGTTACAGATTCCGTGGCTCAGCATCTAGAGTGTGCTGGTGTTGAAGAGACGCATGTTGAGAATGAATGCTTGGCTTGCGCTCGCAGTAACGAGAGCAGGGTCGCGAACCTGATAGAGATGCCGACACAACAAGAACCACCATCCTGAGAATCAGAAGCTGGAACGCCGGCGCCACACTTTCAGCCCCGTTGAATGCTGGGCATCTGTTTCTACAGCCTAGGCTCCACACAGGAGGGTTAGGCAGATGTTTGTGTTTAAATTGTTTAAGCATGTACACCACCGAAGTGTTTAAACAAAGCAGTCCGACAGCTGAAAGTGCTACAACGGCTAACCTTGTTTAAGCGCTGTTCAAGGATGCCTAAGCGCACACATGCTTCAACAGTTGCTAATTGCATGGTTCAGCGGTTTAAATGTTCCCAGTCCCGAGGTTTGTTCATAAGCAAGTCGTGTACACGTTGAATCCAAACGCTTTTGGCCCATTCCTGCCACACTGGCTCCTGAGAACCCAACCTAAGTTATCTCGGGTCGCACTACTTCCTTCTCCAAGGAACAAGCCAAGCTCCTTAGATCTCGCTTTGAGAAGCGTCCCGAGATGATCGTCAGCTACCCGGCCGTAGCACGATGTATCGCCTGTCTCGATAGTAGTACTGTATTGCTCGTCTGATTGTATCTATGACCTCTTACTTGTGGCATGCCTGTGAATTTAGCGCACCCTTCCTGAGCTTATCGCTGTTGGACTGCCAATTGCAGCAGCAGTGCCGGAGGAGAAGCAGCAGTAGCAGGAGCAGCAGCTGTAGCAGTAGTACTAGTACTGGTCACGGCCGTGGCCACGGTCGGGGTCAGCGTCGCCGAAGCGGTTGCAGTTGCGGTCGTGTTGGAGGTGGTGGTCGTGGTTGTCGTCGTGATCGTGGTTGTGGTCGTGCCGTGGTGTGGGAAGTAGTGAGTGGTTGGCAGTTGTTGCAGTGATTGTGGCGATGGTGGTTGTAGCGTTTGTGGTAGTGGCAGTGGTAACCGTAAGAAGAGGACGCTGAGTAGGAGGAGCGGCAGCTGTCCATAGCAGTAGCAAGCAGTAGCGGTATAGTGCCAGCACTCGGAGGCGACATGGCAGCAGCTAGGCCAGTAGCAGTTGGAATTTACCAACAACATTTCGGGAACATTCCGATGCTTTCTGTAGCTCTAACCATGCAGCAGTTGCCGTTTTGGTCCTCTTGTCTCACACAATCCAGCAGGTTCGCCATTGACCCGTGCGATTCAGACAGCGCTGCTTGCTGTCCCGGACGGAACAGGACCGGGATGCTTCAATGTTAATGTTAGTGAGGAACCTGATTGTGGGGGCCTGGAGTTTAGCACTTACAGTCTGGGTCTTGGGCGATTGGGCATTTTGTCCTTCAGGACGCTTTGGAGTCAGCGTCAGAGCTTGCAGATTTGGGTTTAGAGGAGCCTCTCATTTCATCATGGCATTGTTGTCCGATCGCAGAAGAGGTGCCTTAGAGCCAAGCCTTGCTCCTTTGTCGTACCCCTTTCATGTTGCTCGCTGCTAAAAGTTGGGAGGTTTCCCGTTAAGAGACATGGCTTGCGGTCAGGACGACGGGTCGTGGCGAACCCTCTTTGCTCTGAGCATATGGAGGCCTCCGAGGGTCCGAGGGTGCGCTTCACGGCAGCGCCGGCGTTCACACCGTCAATAAATCATCCCATTGCTGACAAGGCTTATCTGCAGAATGGCGAAAGATCGTCGGTGCTCCGGATTCGCTGTCGGGGTTTGATCTTCTTGGATGTACAGACTCGGACATGGCATGGCCACAGATGCAGATCCAAGGAAGTAAACCTCCTGACATGTCCGTTTCCATTAACCCTTAACCCATCTTAAAGCCAAAGTTCTATTTATGAGCTCGGTAAACTTTTCTTTACCCCACCCCTCAGAGTCCCGGAGTCCAGCTACAGGCCTCCTGCGACCTCGGAAGGCAAATTTGGCTGCAGCGAGCGGGCCTGGATCAGAGCCTGAGAGATGTTTAGAGTGTCTAGGTCCGAGGTATAATGATTGAGGTGCCGAGCGATCGTCACGAGCCTGAAACACAAACCGCACACCTTCAGAGACAGCCGAGGCCAGCGTCGCAACTCAGATTCGCCTTTCCGCAGGTGCGCTGGGTGGATTCATCGAGATCGGCACCAGGGTCTTGTGGCTTTCCATAAAGCTCCCAGCCCAAGCCTTACGCACTACGACCGCAGGTGGATTTCGGGAACTTGCCCGACGTGTGGTGGCACTTCGGCGACGAAAGAAGGCGAAGTAGACCGCGGGAAGCTCCGGTTGCTTTTGCTTGGCATTTTCCAGTGTCTGTGTGTTCTTGCTTAAGTTCTGACTGCTGTTTTGTGTGCTGCGGGCTTTCCGATTGAAGTTGAGGGTCGTAAGGATACGGTGTCGACTGCATCACAGCAGGTTTCACAAGCACACTGAATTTCTGCTGTGGCATCATTGCCTGGCAGGTAAGCTCTGCACCCCAAACTCCGACACTCGAAACCGCAAGTCGCTGAACCTGGGCCAAAATCAGGGTAGGTCTTAAGTCTCAAATATGGCCCTGTAGCGTAGAGATGGGACAGCAATGAGAAGAAGTCGTATTTGGAGAAAGGTACGTTCCAGATGATTGCAAGGCTGGCCGGGCACAGTGCGCGGTTGGTAACGTGAGTACCACCAAACGGTCAGTCTGTTCTCCACGGTTCCGGCACAGCTGAGGTCACATGCGCATGAATTTGTGCATGGCATGGAAGACAGTCGAAGGGCATTCGGCCCAAACCCTCTTTGCTTCGTACTTTCGGAATCCGTCTGATCCCAGCCAGCAATCAACTCCTCAGAGAGAATTGACCCAAGGTCGGGCCCCCACCCCGGTACCAAAGATTGCCACGGACACAGACCTTGAGACCCTCTCCGATGCTTTTTTCGAAATTGGTACCGAAGGCAGGCATCACCCCTGAAGCTTCTCAGAAGCTCTTCACCAACGATGGCGCCTTGGACTCGGATGGCAGCCTTCCAAAGCTTGCAAGACAGAGGCAGAATGAACATGCCTGTGAGAGCGAAAGCGAGTTGAGCGATAGATGCTAGGACCAAGACTAAGTTACTAAGTTGTAAGGGAGTGGAGCGTATATGAAATAACGCCATTGCTAACAGTTGTGGCAGAAGAACCGCGGCGGTCATGCCCATCCAGCCGTCACCCGTTGAATAGCTCTTCCTCCCAATGAGTGCTCGACACTTCCAGGAGTGGAGAACGTAGCAGGTGGGTTTCGGCACTTAGACTTTGAGAGCTTTGAGTTTTGGATATGTAAAGACCCAGGTGTGGGGTCTCGGTGCTCTTGCCTTTTTTAGTTCAAGCAGGGTTTCATCAAATGTCAAAACAAATGCAATCAACCATGGGACCGCAACAGCAACTGATGACGGCAACTGCAGCAGGCACAAAAGCAGTGACAGCAGCAGCAGGACCCCAGCCCCTCGCCATGCATGCATGCCTGCATGCATGTCCTATGCATGTGGGTATGCATGCTGACGTGTACGATGACGCGCATCGTCATGTGTATGTGCAAGCTAAAGGGCACGACATGCGAATGTATATGCACACGCGTACACAGGGTACTTGCGTGTGTGTGTGTGTATGTATATACATACAAATATGTGTATACTATAAAGTAGCGGAACAGCAACTAAAATGTAACTGCAACCAATCACCTTTGCATTCAACATATGTAGAATTTAGCGATGATCTAGCCTTCTGGCATTTTTGCATTAACTTCTTTCTTAGAGGCCGCCGGGAGTCCCGGCCTGACTTCGAGCGCCGCGTGGACTCCTTCGTGGGCTGGCTCATGCAGCAGCCTGGGAAGGTCCCCCGAACGGGGGTTCGGTCTTCGGGGTTTCGATTTCAATTTTCGGGCGCAGGGTCCCGCGCATTTCGGAGTGTGTTTTTTTATGAAGAAGCAACATGCACGACCTGCACGAACCGGATGAGCCCGGCCCCGGCAGATCTCGTTTGTTCATGCAAATGCAAGTGGTCGAGGATTCCTGATGAATGGATGGTTTTGTGATCCGTGTGTGTCATTATTTCTTGACGATCAGATGGTGTGGATTGGATGATGATTTTGAAGAAGATGATGAAAAGAAAGAAGATGAGTGCCATTATGATGGTTCAAGGTTGATGACGGTGATGACGAGGACGATGGCTTTGACAAGTGTCATCTGGCAATCGGTGCAATGCGTTTATCAGAATCATGGTGAACGTGATGATGGTGTTATGTAACGAAGATGAAGCGATAAACGTACACCCTTTTACTGATGAGAGATGGGGTGAGCATTCAGATGGACCCACTACAGCATTGCTGGTGTTGCTGTTGCTGTGTTGCTCCTGCTGCCGCTACTTTGTTTGTCTCAGCATTCACATCGATTTTTGTTACAGGGTACTAGGAGTCGGAGGAGGAAGATTCCGCTCGTGGCACCATAACCCCTCGTGATGTTTGCTATTCCTACTGTAGCTGAAGGTTTGCACCAGCTGACTATATGAGTAATCTCTTGATGCTGGTGCAATTATGAACTGTAATGCAGACCTCAGCAGATTTGCTGCTCCTGCCTAGCATCACTGCGGCTACGACATGGATGATGCACCTGCGCTATGGAAACGACAAACGACTACACACCAGTGAGACTATTACAATCATCACCATCAATACTAGGATCTCCGGGGACCCAGGTCATCATAGTCTCATCGCACTGTTGTCGTCACACTGTCTTGTCATTGGTGCTGCTTCTGTTGTCTTTTGTGGTGGTGCATTTGCAGGTGGCTGCCAGGATAAAGTGTCTCGACGACAGCAAAGACGTCGACACCGTTGACATCTGTTGACGGTGATGGTAGCAAGGAAAACGGCGCAAACAAAGAAGATGCAGGATATCGCGATCTTTGCCCACGCCGATTTCTGCAACTGCCTCCTTCAGCGCTACCTCAGCTGGCGGGAGGTGCAGCTTCTGCGATCGTGACCGATTATTTGTTCAGCCTTGTCTTTGCGAGCTCGGCAGACAGAACACCATATCTGCTTGTTTATGGACATGCTTACTGAGTCTGACTTACTTGGTGGCTTACAGTGTCAGTGGTGAATCAAACACGATTGAACCCCCGGTGCTACAACACGTCAGAGGGTCGTTGGAGACTGCTTCGAGGTATGTTCTCGCCTGGATATAGGCCTGCACAGATTTGGGGCCGAATCGTGCTCCCAACGGTGCCGTGACGCACGCATTGCGCCTGGTCTGGTGCGGCATCTGCACACCTCCCCCGTGCACATGTCACTGTTCGAGCCTTGCTCATCCTTGCCTCTCGCGCTCCAGTTTGCTGTACGCATTCTAGTGCTCGAAGCACTTACCGTCGCGATCACGTTGCATTGCCGTGCTTATCCGCGTTCTTGACTCTTGGATGGGCCTGCTTCTCATCTTCTCTGTCTTTGCCGGCATGGTAGAAAATGTCAAAGTTCCTTACGAACTTTACCCATTACCCTCCTGCGTCGTTTTTCCGATCTGTGGCAGGCAAGCTTCAAAGACTACTGGATGAGCAACTGCGAGCTGCTGGAAGCCCGGCCTCGGAGTCGGCGAACAAGCTGTCATTCGGCGTTTTCACCCGAAGCGGTTTGAGTTTCTGCGGTTGACACACTCTGACAAGCACTCAGAGATACTCGTCGTCGTCAGCACATTATGTCCACAAGGATTTGCTTGACTGCAACCGAGGAAGTCGAGCTCCGACAAGAGGCGCGAAAACCTTCAAGTCTCGTAAGGCAAGCCTTGCAAGCCGCGCAAGCCCCCGAACTTACTAAGCGTCGTATGCGAGTCAGAAGACATTCAGAAGTCCGGCGATGGGGATCACTGGGGTTGTCACACTCGCGCAGTGTGTTTTCAGCACACGCTTGTGGACGAAGCTGTGCTACTTTAATATGGCCAGGTTTGCAAGTCGATCGCTACAGGCACTTTTCGACTGGATAGTGCCGAAGCTCAAGCATTTCGACCAATGCTTGTAGTCTGACAGGACCTGAGAAACCCGGTGCTTTCTGCAGCCTTGGCGAAAGCATCAGAGGCATGCGCGGTTGTTGGGCATACGTTTTATGCTTCAAGGCTTAAGGCTTAAGGGTCGACATCTCGGACTTCACGTTCCTGGTTCTGTGTCGAGAGCCCCTTCACATCTTCAAGGCGTCAACACATCTTTTGCCATTTTGCCTCACGGAACCGAAACGCAGAACTCAGTGCTTTGCGGCTGGCGGCTGCAAAAGCACATTTCTTACAAAGTCGAGCCATCTCGAGCCCCAAACCCTGAAGGATTCTGCCGCTCCGGAGCCGAAATCCGCTTCTGCGATGCCGGCACCTGCCAACCGCGCCGCCCTGGCGCTGGAAGCTCTGCGCCAGGACCGGGGACTCGTTGAAGTTTGAGAGTTTGATCTCTTGCAGGATCTGGGCGTCCTGTGGTGATAAGCCTGCCGGCTACGGGTATGTCCGTTTCGCATGGTAACTGTACGGAAATCTTTTTTTCCAAAGTGACCTGCGACCTACAGTGCCAATCAGATCTTACTCGTACCGAAACTCCATGTGCAACTACATCCCTCTACCCAAAGCCTGGAAAATCCATTCGCCACTGCAGGAGCTCAGCCAAAAGCACCCAGAACTGAAGCCTGGAGAGTTGCGAGCAAAGGCGGCCAAGGTGGGCTGTCCGGGACTACACATTGTTACTGCTGCAAGGGAATTGGGATTGTTGCGTTGCGATGTCTTCTGAGGGCATGATTGGGGGATTCTGATTTCGCTGAGTCGGGGCGAAGTGGTTCATGTGAACAGGTTGCAACCTTCCTTTCTTTATGGGTTGAGGGGGGTTCTCATGTGTGGATTTGAGAGTTTGGATTTCTTTGGCCGTTTCTGCTAGTTACCATGCGAGTTACCATGTGTCTTCGTTGTGCCTGTGCCTCGGGTTCGTTGGCTGCAAAAACCCCAAGCCGCCAGGTTGAATGTATTTTCTCTCACGCAAGATTTATGGCTTTATGCACGCTTGTTACAGAGTCGCTTGTGATTGGCAGGGATGACTGTGTGGGTTTGATTATGCTTGATGTGACACTCCGAGAGTTCCTGCAATGTCTCCTGCAGCGTCTACTCCTCGTCGCACTGAGAGCGTTTCTGTCTAGCTAGTGAACCCATTTAGGCTTCCTTTCGGGGTCGCCTTTGGGTTCCTCTGTTGGGGTCCGCGGGTTGCCTCAACCCGGAACTGCCGAGCCTCAAGGGTGCGGGGGAGCGCGGCGCAACCAAGCAGAAAGTTGGACGATTTCGGACCTGACCACACCGAAGTTGGAAGATGCCGTTGCCGGATCGTACCAACTGCCGCCTTACAACTTTCCGGCTTCCGCTGAGTCTTCTGTATGCTTGCTCAAGATTGAGGCTGGATCCCAATGATTAGTAGCCTGCCTTCAGAGCTTCGAGCCTCGCCTCTAGCGCAAAGCATTTGCAACTCAGGACTCGGAATTTGAGACCCAACGTTTTGCGCCAAGGATCCTCCTCTCGACTTCTTTTCGAAGAATCATGTCCGAGATGTTACATAGTCTCTGAAGAACCGCTTCCTCAATGCCTCGGCAGTGCATCTACTTCAACCCCGAAGCAAGAACCAAGCTGTTTTGCATACGATTGGCAATGCCTCCATGACGGAAACACCGAGAAACACACCGCTCGCCTTGCAGGAATGGAAAGCCCTGACGCAGGAGGCGCGGCTCGTAAAAGGGTTTGCTTCAGCGCTCAACCATCCTGCAAGGATTGAATAGAATGTGTCAAGATCTCACCGAGTTCCGTACCGGCATTTTTGAGGTTGGGCCTGAAGGGCTTTCTGGGCTGTCAGTTTGGGGCATCGGCTTAAGCACGTGTCGTTGTTAGCTTCAACATTGCCTCGAGACTGGATCATCAGGAGAATGACTCTTTGAGAAACTGCTGGCTCGACGCATCATGTCCTTCTCTCGCTCGTTTGTTGGCTCGGATTTTGAGCAGGATGTCGATGAGGGCCGAGGTAGGCTTCCTCAATTTCAGACGGGCCGTCTTCGCTTGGACGAAGCATAATTCTCTGCAGGCACTTTCGCCCCGGATGCATACACATACTGATATTCACACATGTGCACAACGAATTACGCGCACATAGCAGACATGAGGTGCAAGATGTGTCCGCAAGTATGGACACGTGTGTGTGTGTGTGTGTATGAGTGTGTATACATACATACATACATACATTCATACATTCATGCACACATATGTTTATACATATATATATATACACACATAGGCACACGCACACGCTCCGAGGACACGTGTTGATGCATTCTGCATGTACGTAAGCCTAGACCAGACGGTATTCTTGCGTGAACCATCCACTCCCCTTGTAGAGGCGCGAGCACAGTACATGGCTGCCATCTGAGGGTCTGAGGACCACGGCATTGAAGACACGATGCCGAGGAGAAAAGAGGCTGCTAGAAGCTACTGCAGAGGGATCTTCCGACCAAAGCTATCAATAGCAGGAGCCGACAGGAGTTGGACTGGCTAGTTTTGGTTGGTCGGCTAAGCCTCTGGGGTCTGTGGATGTGCAGGGGAAACAGTGGTGTGCGCATTTGCTCTTGTATACATCATGGCAAAGCTGCATAATCACTCACATCCGAGTAGCTGTACTTTCACCAGTAGAAGTAGCACCGTTAGTAGTCGTCGTCGTCGTCGAAGCCGTCGTATAGTCGGAGTGGAACCGCAGCAGTAGATCGCTAATACAAAGTGCTAGTGGTATGGTTCGTAGTTGTCAGAGTAGTAGCAGTAGCAGTAGCAGTAGCAGTAGCAGTGGCAGTGGCAGTGGCAGTGGCAGTGGCAGTGGCAGTGGCAGTGGCAGTGGCAGTGAAAGTGGCAGTGGCAGTGGCAGTGGCAGTGGCAGTGG